TAATAATAATAATAATAAAATCGGACGGATTTCCTTGGTGGTTCCAATCCCCCCGCCTCACACCTCAAAATACAAGCTTTGAAATATGGAATATGGAATTCAGGACGGAGGTTTTTCACAGGCATTGTTTCCCAGTGCCTTTAAACAGGCAGAAGGGACGATTTTTTTGAGGGAACCCTCGATGAATTCATACATGGTCCGGACAAAGAATCAAAATCAAAAGGAGTCTGGCTTTTGCTTAGTTTCTTCTTCCCTCCTTTCTCTCTGCCTCTCCCAATTTATCGATACCAGAAAACAATTGATCTAAAGTAATATACCATATCTTTAAAACCAAGTTCTCCGTAAATGCAGCCTCTTAAAAATAAATAAATTCTCCAAGATCACAGGGAATAAAGTACCCAAGTTATTTTACTTATTTGATTGAGTCACAAAGATTGTGTCTTTTTAAGTACCACACTTCTACACCTCGACAATCATTTTAATATATAGTCAATGCCTCTTTGTAGAAGGAACAAAGAGGAACTATTCGCAGTGTTTCAATAGACTTGAGTTGGGGGAAAGGCAGGTTAATCGAGGGGTTGCATCTAGAAAACAAGCGAGTGTTGTATGTTTGCACTGAATCCAAATGTCTGCATTTTCCTAACTAAATCAAAGGGAGTGTTATTTCTTTTTCTGCTCACTCATCTGAAGGTAAGTAAATTTTCTCTGGCGATCACAAGCTTGGTCAGCAACAAAGGCGCCGCCTGCTTTTTCCACCGTCCTGGTGTGGCAAGTTGAGGAATTTCAATAAATGTGACAAGGGTGACTGATTTGTGAACTAGAAAAGGGTTGAGCATCAGAAAATTTATATTGGTCCTATCTAGCGAGGATTTCAAACGCATTATAAAACCCCAGGATCCGAGAATTCCATGCAGCACAGAAAAGACAAAAGCAACTTCGGGAAAATTTATAGGTGTATACATACACGTATATATACATAAATATATACCTGAATTAAAGAGATCGTATTAAAAGCGGGGAGGGAGAGGGAGAAAATAAAATAATAAAACAAAGTGAGGTTGGACGGAGAGACAACAACAGCACTACATAAAAAAGCAGAAAGTTAAGCACTCTCACCCACCTGACTTTTGATGGGTGCTACTTTTTTTCAGAAAAACAAAATGATGGAACGTTACAGTCCTTTTGCCACAGAAACCACTCCTGTTGTTTTAAAGCAAAGCCTAATGTAATCAGCACAAGCGTTTTGGAGAGCCTCAGAGACAAAACAAGGAGAAAGCGCAAACTGAAAAGGAGTCAGCCACAGAAGGACTTCCTCAGTCAAGCCCCTTTAAAAGTTGTTCAAAATGTCTTGGTCGCCAAGAAGGAACCCATCACCACCATAAAAAAAAGAAGGAAAACATAATGCAGAAACAACATCTACACCTTCCCCAGTCTTCATAGCTATTAGAAAAGAGGCCTTAGGATTTTTTTTTCGAGCCCCAAAATTGTATATTTTATATGTTTATGTATATAAAAAGTTGCTACTCCTGTACCAGCCTGTTTGTCAAAAGCGATGTCAATGCGCTTCACAATACCTGGGATTGATGAGCAGAGTTGGCCAATCAGGAGAGACGAGAGCTTTTGCGCACCCTTAGTTGGAGAGGAAGGAGGGAATCGCGAGCGAAAGTAGGGACCGCGCAGCACCAATGATCGGCGACGCCGGCCTCCACGTAGCTCCTCCCTCTTCTCCCATTCATCAAGGGGGGGACGGTGTCGTCTTTTCAATTCATTTATCTGCAGGAATGATTGCCGCTATCAGTCTCGCGTTCACCGCCCGGCTGAGGAGGTGAAAGTTTCTCCCCAGGAAGATAAACCGCAAAAGACAATATTGTGCATGATTTGCGCCGTTGTTTTTTTTTTTTTTAATAGACAAAGCAGGGGGGGAAAAAAGGAAAAGGGAAAGGGAAAAAGCCAAAGGAAGGGGAAAAAGAGACGGAAGGAGAGAGAAAAAAGAGTGGAAGAGCTGGAAGAGAAGAGAAAATCGCGTGCTAGTTCCTTACATTCCTCTAGCTTCTTTTAAAGAAAAAAAAACTGAACTGAAAGAAGTTTGATTTTTGTTTGGGTTCGACCCCCCCTCCCCCCGCCGGTCCGCGCTTGCTTGCTTCTTCCTTTCTCTGCACTATTGTTATTTGCGAGCGGGGTCTTTTGAATTCTTTCCCTCCGCCCTTTTGCAAGCCTCCGAAAAGTGCCGTCCGAGAGGCAAGAGACAGAGAGAGAGAGAGAGAGAAAGGGGGGGAGACGAAGGGGTGTTCCCCCCCTTCTCCCCTGAGCGCGCGCGCTGATGTCTTTTTTATTCTTCTTCTCTCGTTTTTGCAGCTTCTAGGTTCCTTCTCCCGCTCTTGCCCTTACCCCTCACCCACCTTTTATTTTTATTTTTCGGCTGGCGTGTGTGTGCGTGCGTCTCTCTCTCTCTCTCTCTTTCTGTGTGTGTGTGTGTGTGTGTGTGTGTGTCTGTGTTTTGGTTCGCGGATGCTGGAGGGGGAGTTCCTGATGTGGTCGCTTTGGCGGTGATCGTCGCGCGGACTTTTGCAAGAGAAGGCGAGGCACAGAGAGCCAGCCAGCCAGCGAGCGAGCGGCGCGTTGGATCGGCGGCGGCGGCGGCTCTTCTTCTTCTCCTCCTCCTCCTCCTCCTTGGCCGGCTTGCGCAGCACTTGGTGGGCCGCTCGGGCTTCTCGGCGCCTGTCCCTCTTCCTTCGCTCGGGCTCGCTCCCTCCGGCTCGGCGGCAGCGGCGGCCGCGGACCAGGGGAAGATGCTCCTCGACGCCGGACCGCAGTACCCGGCCATCGGCGTGACGACCTTCGGCTCGTCGCGGCACCACAGCGCGGGCGACGTGGCGGAGCGGGACGTGGGGCTGGG